GATCTTGGTGCAGTTAAAGGATCAACTGGTCTTTATCGAACAGCAATAAGTCAGTCAGGTTTAGACTCACCTGGAACTTATTCATCTTATTATAATATGACTACTGCTCTCAATTGCTCTAACTCGATTGTTCAACGTTTGAATTGTACCAATGAAGACAAACAAAAAGTTCTTTCATGTATACGTAACTCTTCAATTGAAAATTTATTTCAAATCTATAGTGATCGTTATACAAGACCAATCATTGATAATTATTTCTTTCCATTGTATCCACCATTAGCAATCCAAAATGGACAATACAATAATATTAGTCTTATTATGGGTAATAATGATTATGATCTATCGGTATGTCTTGATCATCCTGACATGAATTATACTGATGCTATTGAATTAATAAGTCAATCTGTAGAGCATAAATGGATACCGGCAATAGTTGATTATTATCATTTAAAGAATTGTTCAGCAAATCGAACGGCTAATAACACCCGTTGTTGTAATATTGTCCTTTCCATAGCAATAGATAAATTTTTTGATTGTGATATTCGTCGATTATTCAATGCTTTTTACTTAAAATATGGTCCACAATACGAACAAAATAAATTATTTTCATATCATTTAAATTGTTATCCTCAATGTCCTATTGTACCAGAAATGGGTATATGTAGACATTCAGCAGAACTTCCATTTGTATTCGGAACTATTAGTGATTTTCATTCACAAGAATTATTCAATTGTACTTGGGATAATTCAACACGAGTATTTTCTAATGAAATAATTTCACATTGGATTAATATAGCAACAACAGGAAGACCATTAAATCAATGGCCAAGTTATGATCCATCTTCACCTAGACATTTCCATATCACACCTGATCGGGGCTTTGTAGCTGAAATATGGAATAGAAATTGTTCGTTTTATGATGAAATGGAAGCAGAAGAAGTTGGAAAAATATTTGGAAATAATCATTACATTATCAAAGAACTACCTAAATAGTGTTTATATTGATTATTTTATTTGTCTAATAAAAAAACTAACTAATAGGAAAAATAAAACTTCGGCATGATAGTAGAACAACCGAAAGAAACCTATGATTTCGAATTTTTCTTTTCATGTTCATTACGTAAATCTAATAATTTTCTTGAATCTTACAAATGCGAAACAGATTTCAGAACAACACATTCACGGCTAAACGAAGAAACAAACATTCATACGTATACATTGAAATATGAATTTGTGTTCACTTCTAAATATGAATTGTATTCATTGAAATGCGTGTCGATTGTTAGTCAATGGCTGAGTTGTCTATTATGCTATCGATTTGAACAATATTGTTTCTTTGAGTGTGAGTGTGGTATGACATTTGAAGAAGAGAATCTTCACACCACATACCCACACCCACACCCGTCGAAAGTAGGTTTTGGATATATACATGATATTCTAAAAGAATCGAATGAGAAGACGTTACAGTTATAGATGTAAAGGCCGAAAAAAGGAAATTAAAAGAAATTATCATAAGAAGTCTTACCATTAAATTGCCCGGACATTGCTGCACATCCATCATACGCCTGGCCTACCATAAAATTTGGATCAAGACCAAGAGTTTTTAATTCTTCAAGAATTAATCGAGCCAAACCTCCAGTTCGAACTTCGACTCATAGAAAAGTAATACATTTTTCTTGCTCTTTGTTTTCAAACGCATATTGAAGGCAAAATGTAAATTGTTCGATATTACTCACATCAGTAGTTTCATCGGCGATTAATGTGAAGAATTTAGCATACTTTACTTCATTAAGTGTTTGTCCTCGAATTAAGTCATCACAAATTTTAATTAATTCATTTTGCATTGTTTTCGAGATGTATGTGGCAGTTTTGCTAGCTGTTGATAGATAGTTTGCTAACATCGAATCACCAGCATCCATTCGAGAGCGGAATAAGAAACGAAAATTACCTAAAATTAATACTAAATCATTAACAAACATTAGACTGTTTACTTACCTTCTCCACTAATAATAGAATCAATGCTTAAATCATCATCATCTCTGTGTCCTCGCAATTGAATATTGTTTTGATTACAAAGTATAATTGTCTTGATAATCGGTATTAAACATTTTCGATTTTCAATTTTTTCCAATTTATGTTTGTTTAATAGCAAATCGTCGATACTCTTGCATTTGTTTTGATATACAGAAATGAATCTTTCAGCATCCAAGATGCTATCATTGTGATACTTTTTAAACTTGTCTCTAACTATTAAACCGTCGACACCTAACAGCTTGCCATATTGTTGACATGGCGAAAGAACAAAATAACCCAAATGATTGTTATCCACTTCTTTGGCGAATAAAACACAAGGTACACAAAAAAGGCCAGCCTTTGAAGGTCAGTGAACCAGCCACAGTTTATTA